ATATATATATATATATATATTAGAAAAAAAAATAAACTAGAACTAGATACTAATTTAGTAAAAAATTCATTAATTTTTTAATAAAAAAATCATTAATTTTTTAATAAAAAAATCATTAATAAATTATTATTAAGTGGAATCATTAAGACATAGAAAATATGAAAAAAAATTTTATTTTAAACTTATGTAATACATATTAAGAAATTACTTTTTCATTTTCTAACAATAAGTATGATATTGTATAATTCTGATATCTCATATTTTTCTGTTAAAATAAAAGATAGTTTTAATAATATTAATGAAAATACAAATACATGTTATTTTTTAATAATAAATTCTATAGCTCTAAAATAATATTTTTTTAATTAGAAATATTAATGATTACAATTACTGATAAGTGTTTAGAATTTATCTGATACGAATGATATATTTTGATGAAAAAATTTATTTTATATATTTTCATTTAAAAATAAATATCTTAACATTTCAGATTATTATGTTATGACAAAAAATAAATACATCAAAAAATACGTTAACGATTATGCATTATTGGTTTACATTTTTCTTTAATTTTGTAATAAATTATTTATTCTTTTTGATTAATAGGGTTTAACTAAGCAAGAAAAAGGTCGTTTTGAAGCTATGGCCAAAAATGATAAAATCGCATCCCAAATATCAGACAAAGACAAGAAAACATCACTTGGAGAATCACTAATTATGCTTCAACTAAAAGAGAAGGAAGCAATGATGTTTATAAAAAATATGCAGGAAAACATAAAAGTAATAATTGACACAGCTGTAAATCTTAATTGTACGTATGTTATATAACACAATATCTTGTAGAAATTTGAAAATAATTTTTATAATTAAAATAACAAAAACTCAATTGTTTCTGAGATATAAATTTTTTTGTATGTTTTTTATTTAATATGGTGTGTATTATCTCCCATATAAATACTGAATGGTTTTTTGAAAACACCCTGTATATGTGTGTGTGTGTGTGTTTGTGTTTGTGTATATTAAATATGTCATTAATAATACTCTTTATTATTGCAGTTTTGGCAGAACTGAAATTTTGTTTTGTACATGTTAACTGGTTTTTCTGTATGATTGTTAACAACACTCCTCAATATTTTCCTGCTGAATATACATTTGGAGTTTTCTCATTGAAAAACGGTATAGAAGATGTGCATCATACTATTGTCAGTGCTAAGATTCCATTAGGATATAGACGGGAAGCGTTGGAGATAAGTCAGAACAGTCATAAAATACCTGTAGAATATGAAGGCGGAGAGACTGACTTTGCTGTTATGTATGACAAACTAGCAAACTTCCTAGAATCTAGGAAAATTGTGGATCAGTATCCTTATCTTTTTACAAGGAAGGCTTTCACACGAGAAGCACAATCCTTGATAGCAAGACTGTGTGATGCAGCACGTAAGTGTACTTTTATAATAAAAATGGCACATCACAATATACATATATATACTTTTTACAACAAATAGAAACTTTTTAGATGTGCCTTATACCAATTTATGTTATTTAAATAAATTTGTTTCTATTCCAGAGCAAGATAAAGAGCAATTTAAAATTTATGAATTGGAGTCATTGTTCGTACATTTGGCAAATGAATTATTCAAGAAAAGAAAAGATCGAGATATGGATTTAATTCCTGTTTATGCTCATAAAATATTTGAAAATTATACGTATCGATTTGATAAAGGATTTGAATGTCATGTGAGAATAGTTTTATTATTTTATGATATTATAAAGTATATTTGATTCATATTATATCATTTTGTAATATTAGTTTCATAAATACGTTGATGGAGGACCTGAGTACTGTAGTACATCTGTGCTGCAACAATGGGCATGGACATTATGCGATGAGTTTTGTGCACCACTTAATATCGAGATGCAACCTGGAATACACCAGCCTGATAGATTTGATAGAAATCCTAATCATTTCGACAAGCGAAGCTTGGTGTCGATGATGAACAACTTGCGCGTCAGAGATGTTCCTCAAGCTACAGCTGGGACCGATGGAGTTTTATCTATGACAGGCGTAAGTACACATAATACCTTAAAAATATTACTGTAGAGATTTATACATGGACAGACACATTACATATACTTGTTTAAATAGTTTTATAAAGTATACATAATACTACATATAGTGAATGATTTTTGTTATCTTATAACAGGTAAGTGAGCAACATAGATGGAACCGTTCTAGTAGAACATATCAAGAAGAAATGCGTCGTCGAAATGAATCAAAACCAGTACAAGTTATTGATTGTAGCAAATTTCAAGACGGTACTAGTACATCTAATGATAAATCTTCTATTACCGAGTTTGCTAGCAAACCTGCTAAGATATCTAATGTAGAAAGGGCTGAATACGTATGTATTTTTTATATAATCTTTACATTAATTGAAAAATATGTTGTTTATAAAAATTTTATATTATTTCAGTAAAAATTTTTCAATGGCTATTCGAGCCGACACAGGATATTATGTGTAATAATCAATTTATTAATGAACAATAAAATTATATAATTATGACATCAGGTAAACGTTTCGACCCTATTGTTTGGGTCCTCTTCAGTACCAAAAAAACACAAAAATTTTATAAATAAATGTATTGAGTAACTATATAACAGCAAGGTTGAAAGTTGCGAAGATTGTGTCCATTATATATGCATGACAAGAATTTGGCAGAATTGATGTCTTGAATGAGGAAATGGGCTGACGTACATTTCAGAGATGCATCCCGTCATTAATTGAAAAATCAATGACGATAGATTTGACGCGAACTTAACCGCCAGAAGTTAGTAATCTACTAACTGTGACTTCTGGCGGTTAAGTTCGCGTCAAATCTATCGTCATTGATTTTTCAATTAATGACGGGATGCATCTCTGAAATGTACGTCAGCCCATTTCCTCATTCAAGACATCAATTCTGCCAAATTCTTGTCATGTATATATAATGGACACAATCTTCGCAACTTTCAACCTTGCTGTTATATAGTTACTCAATACATTTATTTATAGAATTTTTGTGTTTTTTTGGTACTGAAGAGGACCCAAAGAATAGGGTCGAAACGTTTACCTGATGTCGTAATTATATAATTTTATTGTTCATTAATAAATTGATTATTACACATAATATCCTGTGTCGGCTGTAATAGGCATTGAAAGATTTTTATTCAGATTAGATCTAGAGAGCCTTTATCTTTGATCTATTGTTCAAATTATTTCAGTTAAATGAAAGACCATTACGACCTCCAAATATTGATCGTAAGTTGGAAAATTTTGCTTAAATTAAAGATGAATAAATATTTTATATAATTTATCTATTTTTATTAATAAAATAATTTTATTATATAAAATACTATAATACTAATAAAATGTTCACATTACCGTATGTATACATAATTATTTCTAGCACGTATGTATATTACTTCCGTCGATGATTTACTTCCAACGGATGATGAGAACTTTCCTCCTATTGGTAAGTTAACATATAATGTAACTAGAATTTTATATAACATTATAATTGAATATAATTTTTTCATTGCCATAATTACTTGTGAATGATTAAATAAATATCTGTTTAGGAGGAAGAGGCGTGTCTAACAGATCTCGTACTTTCCAATCAAGAAAGGCGCCTCTAGGCAAAGGTAGTATTTTATCACCATAAATGTATTACACGTTACAGTAAATGATCTTATCTATTATACTAAGTAAGTATTTTTTGTGAGAATTTTATTCCAATTTTTCTATATACAGGACAAGGACACACATAAGCATATTTTTGGATGATTAAAGAAAGCATACTGCGGCATCTACAATATAAGGAATAAGTCATAAACCGTAAGAAATTGACCAACCGTAATCGATCATTTTCCTTGCGTTTGACTATGATTGATCAATTTTTTACGGCTTGCAGCTTACTCCGCATATTGTAGGCGACATAACAGATCTGACTGGATCTGACACGTCATTTGACGAGTTTCAACAACGATATTTGATGAGCTTCAACAACGATATTTGATGAGCTTTGTATACATAAATCATATATAATAGTCATTTAGTTTACGATAAATGCTATAATATCAAAACAATTTTACTTTTATTTGACCAAAGAAACAAAAATTTTTATGTTTATATCTGACATTTATGTAGAAATAATGGGAAAATTTTTCCAGCATATATTCTGTTTAATGAGCTTATATTCATCTAGAAAGAAAAAAAGATGATATAACATCTTTCTGATACGATTCATTTCTAAATTAGTTAAATCATGTTTTATAATAATGCATAGGGGTAATAAATTTTTTTAAAAATTTTTTAAATCATTATTTAGTAATTAATAACTTTACCTTTGTAATATTTGTTGTAAATGTATGTAATAACTTTACGTTTGCAATATTTGTTGAGAGAATTACAATGTAAGAGAGAGTGTTAAGAAATTGAGTTTTATATATATAAAACTTTCATAAAAATTTACAATTTTATAAAAACAAATTTTTCTAATATTCTTTTGACATATATTTTTTGAAAATATTTTTTAGTATACAGAAAATAATTTTTTTATTTAATACAATATTAAATGAAATCTTTACATTAAATTCCAAATTAGATTTCATATTCGGTGTTGTTACCTATAAAATATTAAAGATAAATTACTGTAAATGAAAATAAATGGAATTTATTGTTCTACATACGTGTTCTATATACAGGATGGTCCTCTTAAATCGAACATCTTGAATATTTCGCTTATTTTTGGTGATGTAAAAAAATGTTTCAATTGAAAGTGGAACGGTTTGAGCTGGACATATTTTGGTCGCATTGTTGTTATTCTAGGTGAGGGTGTCAAAAAGATATGAAGATCATCTCCATTTTTTTAAATGGAATTATATAATTTTTTTTAATATGATTTCTCTCATTTTTCCGCATGTAAAAGTATTAAGATAGAGATATCGAAAAACCAATAATTTACGAGATATTTTATACTTTATTGTGGCACATATTGCCATATAAAATGTTAAATAACTCATAAACTATTAATTTTTTGATAATCGTATCGTAATACTTTTATTAACAGAATAATTAAGTGACCCAATTGGTGAAAAGAAAACACATAGTTGCTTAAAAAATATATGTATACAAAATGAATAATTTTTATATCACCAAAAATAAACGAAATATTCAAGATGTTCCATTTGAGTGAACCACCCTGTATATATATCTAAATATGTATCTAAATATATATATCTATATATATGTTCTCTCTTTGAGTATATATATTTATATATGTAAATATACCTAGATAGCCAAATGTCTACAGTCTTCTACCAGACTGTCAGCAGGATAGAGTGGAAAATAACGGCATTCTGCCATCAACTGCGTCTGCATTAGGCTTGTGTTCTGTTAACATCGCCTGTCGGCATAATGTGAAGGCAAATTGTTGGCAGAAACTGAGCAGATCCTGCCAACATTATCTCACGCTTGCAAATTCTGTTACATTTTTTCTAGCAGTCTGTTAACAGTATTATGTACATCTAATTCTGTTGTCATTTTGTTGTCATAGTGTGTAGCAGACATTTAAAAAAATCTGCTTTCTACAGACTTGGTTATCTGGGTATATATTTATTCTACATATATATCTAAATGTATATGTAAAACGAAATAAATAATGACTATAATTGCTGTTAAATAATTACTGTGATTTTTCCATTTTAATTTCCTATTTCGATATTTTAATATTTTCAAAATTTCCTACATATTCTTAAAATTATTTTCTACAATTTCTTATAAAATTGTTGTCATTGGAATTAATTATTTTGCAATAATTACAATTTAATATTTCAAACACTAACTGAGAAGTTTTTGTGCGTACAACTAGAAATTAAATCTGAATTTAAAGCACAAAGAAGATATAATTGATATATTTAGTATGTCCAAGTTTTAGATTCTTATTGAATCATTACTGTTCAATAATTTTGCTT